GCATTTTCGATAGGATTCTTTGCAAAATGCGCCCAGAGTGTTTCATTTTATCAATATACCTCAAAAATTGTGACCTGGAGATTAAACACAAGAATAAATGAGAGAAGAGATCACAGAGGGGCAGGTAAATATTTCGTCACGTCAGGTGGAAAGTCCTGCGGTTAATCGAGACAATGGACATCAAGGGTTCGGACACTCTTCATATAACTTTTTACTATTTTTTTTAAGTTATTCTCTTTCCTTCCATATAATAGCATTGATGCTTTAAATAACCAGGAGTGCTTGCAGAGATTCATTTGCGATTTGTCGCGTACTCCTCTTAACGCCGATTTGAGCGATTCTGTTTATTATATTTTACATAAAATAGTCAACGCAGTATTCATGTAAGTTAAACGATCTATTTGCGGTGGGTGAATTAATTTAGTGACTTCGCTATCATATTAAGTATCTTGAGATTCTGAATTAATTTTTGTCTACTTCATGAGTGAGGGTCTTCACAATTATCGAAATTGAGAAAAAAAGCTAAGATTTGACGCATACGGCGTATGATGTTACCACACATACGTTATGGTACAATGCGCTGTAATCCCCCCAGCAAATATATCTCGTTTTACTTTTACCGAAATTTTGATTAAATCTGACCTTCATTCGGCAGAAGTCTTTCCAAATAATTTTCAAGTTTTCAGGAATGATAGACCTTATCAAATCGGGGTTCTTAATTGCTGGAGCACTTTCCCCATCACACCTGTTTAAATTCTTATCCCTTATCGATTTAGAAACTCTGTCTAATAATTGGCAATAGAAACCTTTTTTATTTAAAGGAGGAAATAAGATGTGTGTTTCCGATCTCATCATCGGAAAGAGCTAATTTGTTCATTAGTGGGCTCTCGAATTGTGGCCTTCTTCAATATAACCATGGTACAAACTGCAGTAAACGGTAGCTGGACCTTCTATTTTCAATTGTACCCAAACTGTGTATAAATCATAGTGATCCTTTTATAACGCCGAAAGACTCATATCACCGAGAATTATTTTCTCAATCAATTACATTCCATGTCAACTCCATAACTGACTTAACCCTACCACTAGCCTCAAAAAGTTTGCGCTCAACAAAATAAATATTCCTATACTACGGAAATTTTTGCCGACGCTTGTTGTGGACTACGCAATTGACCATATATACATACTTTATTATCTTCCTTTTTATGACAAAATCTTCTCATCCATGTTCGAATCATTTTGTATGAAGTTAATGGCAAGCCAAAGACGTTCAAGAATAAAAAAAGGCTCTACAAGAAGTTCTTGAAAAGTTAGTCAATGAAAGATTATTCGAAATATGCAACAGTAAGGCACAGATTCAATTGCTTATCTTCGTATTCATCGTTTGATAGATCCGATTGAGCAGACTTTCTCGAGATCGCGAATGTTTTTGCGAAATTCTTCGGAAGCACCTTCTCATCACATCGGAATGGCCACATTATTGACTCTCCGTAAAAAAAGACGATTAGTGTCTCGAGGTTGTCAGTTCATATGAAGAAATTTGTCAAAGCCTAAAACGACTGCACTATTCAAGTTCAGTACGTCTTGATGGCATCCCCACATGCATTCCGTTATCATGTGTTGAGAAGCTTTGTGCCATCCTCGCGAAAATGTTTAGCCTCTGGCTAAAACTATGCACGGTCCTAATAATCTGGAAAACCAGATTTCTTATACCAATTCATAAAAACGACAATAGATACTTACATTAAATTACAGAGATGTTGCGAAACTGAGTGCACTTCCGAAATTGTTTTAATCTATCGGTGTTCGACATGTTGGGGTACTTTTTGATAACAAGCTTCTGTTTAATTTCCACATTGAAATATCTAGCAGCAACACTAATTCGGTATTTGATTTCATAAAACGCTAGTCGAAGGAATTTCACGACCCATATATTGCAAAAAATTTTTTATATGTCGCTGGTAAGACCTACATTTGAATACGCTTTTGTCGCAAGGTCTGAGTCAGTGGCAAAACAATTGTTACCGTTTGTGTTAAGGATTTTGCGAGGAATCTCTCAGGCTTCATTATCACCGTATGACACCATCTTACTACGAACAGCTATACGTTCACGGGGAAAGAGTAGGTTCGCTTTAGGCATTAGCATTTTAGACAAGTTAATTAGGCGTAATGGATTTACCAGCTCTATTAAATGAAATTAATTTCAATACTGTTGTCCGTCTACCTAGTAACTTTCGGCTCATAAAACTTAATCAATGGGGATCAAACTGTAAATTGTATAACGCACTTATGATGGAATTTAAAAATATGAACATTTATGATCTCATTTTCACATTGGACTCAATACAAATCATAAAAAGGGCTACTCCCTATGCAGTTGTCGATGTCATATCTCAACACATGAAACGCGAAAACTGTGCTGTGTGTTACTACATTTTTTTTCTTCCCGAAAAAAATTTATCACAATAAAGTAAATTAAGGTTTTGTTAACTGGAAAGGAATTCTTGGAGTGCAAATAAACATTATGCTATAAACATTATAAAGTTTTAGTTCAATAAGCGTTGTCTGCTTTTGGGAGATTGTAAGAATTTATATAATTTATACAAAAGGAAACAATTAAACAGCTCTCAAAATACTCTGTTTCATTTCCTTATTTGTTCTCTCTTGTGCACTTAAACGTCAAGCTAAATCGCTTCTTTCCACTTGGATAACGCATTACGACATTTCAAAATTGAGGAGTATCGGCTGCTGCTATCTGACGTCTATAATTAAAGGCAATGGGAACTGTGAAAATCGTAACTTCGCAACAATTTTTGGCGTGTTGGCGCAACATAAATCTGCGGATTTTAGTGGCGGACACTTTAACTTCAGCGCAAATAGGTCAAATGGTTTGCCTTAGTCATGTCCTAGCGGTCGAAAAGAGAACAGCAATTCCTTCATAGCAGACAGAGGCTGCTTTCAATGAAGCGAAAAAGGAGTTGGTCAGTTTAACTACGAAGTTTAATATGTACGATGAATTTTTTACTTCGTGTGAATATCTAAACTTTTCGAGTTGGCAACTTGGTGTGTTCTTAAAGCTTCTTAATGTTCTAAGGAGTTCATTAGGACTTTATTTGATGGATTTGTTCACTCGGATAACCTTGGCGTTGTCAGTGAATTCAGTTCTGCCCAGCAGCGAATCATGGCTACACATTCTACTGCTAAATTGCCTACCCGTGTGGTGAATAAGAGCGTAAATGTATCTGGTGTTTTGCCAAATACTTTGGCCAAGAGTGCTGATGATATATGTAACTTGCTCCTATGTTCCTCTAAATGCGGATATCTCTATTTATAATAAAAATGCCGCCCTCAACTGTGACGAGACCGGGAACCGAGCTGTTGTGTTTTTCAATGAATTATTCGATCGTAACTTACTGCAATACAACCTTCCTTCAAATTCCCGAAGATAGTTTTAAATATTCCAGTCCAGCTTTTAGTTTACCTGAGAATCCGTACCATTTGCATTTATTTTCGTTACAGGCACGATGGTCCGTTGAACTATTCTAATGTGAAAGATCCAACTGCCTCAAATAAACATTATGATTTCAACATAACCGCTTAAATCTTATCTTTCATACATTATGCTCGATTTCTCTGCTGGAAATATTGAAACCTTACTGTCATCAATGTATTAAACCTAGATATTTCTGCATCCGTTCTGACCAAGCAGCCACGCCCGCGAAGTAGGCCCCTGCCAGGATTTAACAAGATGATTAAATATTACAAAAATTTTTTTAAGTTTGTCAATTTTTTTCAAATTGTCATTTTTGTCATGTCCTGAATTTTTGAGTGCTTCTCCTCAATGCGATTCTTTGTTTATTGAAGTTTAGTTGAAGTCTACGTGCCTGCAACAATATTGCAATGACATTCACGTGCCACTAGCCTTAGAATCTCTCAGAGATGAAGCCATAATTTTCTTCAAATTGTATTACAGTTTAATTGTTTTTATAGCATTAGTATATTTATAAATATTCATATACTTCCATATTTTCTGTAGGCCTATACAACCTAATGTTGAAACACGTTACTGGGAAGCACACGAAGCAGGGCGCTATGGGGCCCATTGTAAGAAAACTTTTAGCCGCTGCTCGTTAAGTGAAGACGTTTTAAATCAATTTATGCGTTTTATTTAATAAGTTACAGGCACAAGTAGTCAATCGGCATCGCATTTCATGCAGAATTTTTGTTTTATAATTTTAACGTTATAATATGAAAACCATACCTTACTTGACTTTCAACAAAAACAAAAAAAAAAAAAAAATCAAATTACGTTTGAATTGAAAATGAAGTCAGATTTTTTTGATTTCTTTTCATTCTTATATTAAAATCTATTCAATCGTTAAGTTTTCGGAATCTAAAATTAAATTGTCTCTTTTTTTTCTTCCCTGGATGTTTAAGTAGAAGTAGAAACGAAAGCTAAGACGAGAAAATGTCAAATATTTCACAGAGTTGGGAGCGCGTTTTTTGCACTATAGCGCCAGTACGAAATTTCGTTAGATATATTTCCCGTAAAGATTGTGCGAAAGTCTTAGAGCCCAAATGCAAACCAGAACATTTAGAAAAACAGCCGCCATGCCCCGAGAAAAAAAAGACGACTGCAACAAGGAATAAAAAAACCACCAACTTGCGGTATGTGGGAATGCCCAGAATGTTGTCTTGAGCATTGCCCGGAAGTAGAAAAACGCTTGGACGAACTGTACTACAAAACATCTGACAAACTGAATCGCGAATATCAACAGACATGGATAGCATGTCCGGATTTGAAAATAAAAGAAGTCGAAGTATGCTGCGGTGATATAGGAGGGATGACGGTAGAAAAGAAAGTAAGGCGAGGCAAGGGAGTAAGACCCAAAACTGCTTGCCCGCAGCCTAATAAACTTAAGGGGTTAATGGTGTGTAAAAAAGGTGAAACAAAAAGCAAATGTCCACGATTTATGTTAGGTAATTGTCCCCCTGGCCGTATTCCACCGAATTGCCATCAATTAAAGTCTGCAAGTAATTGTGAGAAAGATCCAGCTCCATATCCAAGCTATTCAGAATGCAAAAAATGCGAATTGGATGCGCTCCCACCTGTGGAATGTAAATGTTTGGATAAACCTGCAATGTGTGAAGTGTGGGCAGAATTTAGAAGACGTCTTAGTTTCGTTAAAGCAAAAGAAAGCAAGGAATAGCGCTAACTTTAAAACTTGTAATGTTTGGTTATTGGTATGTTTTATCGTATAAATTGTGTTAAATTTTGTATTCATTTTATTTTTACTTATTAATTTTTTTAATATTCTATATTCGCAAGTTGTGTATCCATTTTTATAAATTTTATGTTTTAAATTGTAAAATTATTCGAAGTTTGCTCCAAAAAAATTCATAAAAAAAAAAAAAAAGTATATGTAAAAACAAATGTAAATAAATTTTTTCGTTTCATTTATGAATAAAAGTTTTTTGGTAGGTATATCTTTACCTCTTAACGAGTGGGGTCGTGTAGGGCCTATTAACAAATATGAGCATTTCTACCACCGCATTAGCCAATTTACGTCTTTGAATACTCAAATCTTACAACTTGTTGGAGTTGTAACTGACGGAGAAAAGTATCATTTTTGAGGCAGCGAATGCAACTGAAAACTAAACAAATTTGCATATTCATATATATATTGTAGATGACCCTGTAGAATTGTAATAAAAAATTTGCGTTCTTCTTAAAGAGTTTACTGAAAAAAACGATACTTTTATAATTGAGGGATTCATGTAAATACCAAAC